TGGTCATCACCATTTTCTCTGTTCTTTACCTGGGTTGACCATGGTACAATTCCACCTTGCTGATATCCCCAGAAAGGCTATCCACAGCCCAGATAGCTTCCAGGGAACTTTATACCAGAGTAGCCTATGTTTAGTGTGAATTTACCAAAAACAATGTCTGTGTCAAAGAACTCGGTGACTGTGTTGAACGACGGAAGGAAGGGTCGATGTGGCCACCACTGCAGGCAATAACGCTTGCTGTGGGTTAAACTGTATACTTCAAAAGACATGGAGAAGTCCTAACCACTGGCATCTGTGAATGGAACCTTATTGCAAAATAGAGCTTTGCAAATGTAACTAAGATAAAAGGTAAGATGAGATTGTACCTGTAGGGAAAAGGGGCTGGCTAAAGAAACCCATCCTGACCCTGGAGCCCAGAACTAGAGAAAGATGTCTCAGATCAGGGCAGAAAGAAACACAGTTTGGCTCAGATCAGAGCCATCTTTGCCCCTGGCCAACTGACTTGTGAAACCAACCAATCACAGAGCAGGACAGTAGAACCCTGGGCCCCAAGTCAACCCCTGGTTGACTCCACCCCCAAGACATCCTGTGTAAACTGCCTTGCCTGGTCAGTTAGAAAAAAGGGCTGTTCTCTCCACTCTGGTAGAGGTAGCTACTCTCCTGGACTCTTCCTTCCCAAATAAATCTCTTTCTTAAAAGAGTTTTAGATGAGAAGATCTTCATTCACTGACGTAGAGAAGATCCTTGCTGAGACGTCCCTCGGTGGACAGAGCAAGAGAGAACTGAAACAGCAGAGCAAGGAGGAGATGAACAGATCTTTGCTGAGATGTCCCTCAGTGAATAGAGCCAGAGAGAGAGCTAATAAGTAATACTTTTCTCCGGAGCTGAAGGAGATTGCTACATTTCTGCAGGGGTTTCCCCTTTTGCAGAGTGAAGCAAAAGAAGCAACATCTTAGACTGGAGAAGCAGAGCTCTGCTAGGAAGCCCCCTTAAGTGGGGGCTGAGCAAAGCTCAGCTGTAGCGGCTCTCCAGGAGAGGAGCGGGATTGCTATATCCTGCAGGGAGACCATTCCCCATCACACCAGGTATACCCTGAATTTCCTGAATAGTCAGGATATCCTTCCTTGCTGAAGCAGTTCCAGGCCTCACTTTCCCCAGAAGTCAGAAAAATTTCCCTTCCAGGGTGGGGCTGCTTCTTTGCAGTTCTAGCTGTCAAGAGACCTTCAGGGCAGAGCTGTCCTGAGCAGCTAGAGGTGTCTGGGATACCTTGCCCTCCAGGGCTGAACTGTCTCCTTGCAGTTCCAGCTGTCAGAGCTGTACTAAGCAGCTCAAGGTGTTGCCTGACTCCCCAGGTAGTAAGGACACCTTTCCCCAGAGTTGCTGCAACAAATTTACTTACATTGTTGGTGCTGAAACCTGGCAACAAACCCACAGAGTTGCAACCAATTTACTTACAGTATCAGGGTAGGGTGGACCATGTGTATGGGGTGTGTCTATGTGCATACATGCATGTGACCATGGAGGCCAGAGTGGGATGTTAGGTGTCCTGCTATCTCACTCTCTGCCTTATTCCTCAGATACAGCATCTTTTGCTGAAACGAGAGCTAGGCTGGCAGCTGGCTACCCCTAGGAATCCTTTTGGTCTTGCAGCACTGGGGTTACAAATCATGGCTGGCTTTTTACATAGGCACTGGGGATTCAAACCCAGGTCCTCATGCTTGTGCAGCAAATGCTGTTACCACCAAAAGCCATCTCAGCACCTCCAAAGGGTAGACCCTTAATACAACTGGCATAATGCTGAGAAAAGAAGCGCCACAGAGAAGGTCTGTGGCAATGGCGGCAGAGAGTGGAATGAAATGTTTCAAAGCCAAGAGGCAACAAGGATTTGAGCAATACCCAGGGCCAGGGTATAGGCATAGGACAGAGTCGCTTCTGGGACCCACAGGCACAACTAGCCCTACTGCTACCTTGATCTGGCACTTCTGACCTGTAGAACTGCAGGATGATAGATCCCTGATGTTTTTTAAGCCTCTAGGCTCGTGGTAGTCTGTTACAGTAGCCCCTGGAAACAGACTGTTGCTGCTGCTAGAAATGTTAGACCTGTCAGCCGCTGCCTGGGCCTGTGTCCCCAGGGCACCCACTAGCATTGCAGAGAAGTGCTCATTCTGTTTGTATTGGGTCACTTATATCTTTGATTCAGGTACAAAACTGGACCCAGGTGACATCTTGGCCTTGGGCATATGGACACTGTTGAAAACCGTCCCTCACAGACACTTTGGGCTGGACTTTTGACCCTCGTCGGAAGGACAACTTCAAGAGCACATCTTGGGGAAGTATCATAGGTAAGAACAGACAAAATCAGAGGCTAGGCATTTCCACCTGGGGTGGGATCTAGACTGGCCAACTGGTATTCAGGTGGCAAGTGCTGGTTCTAATCCAGGAATCATTCCCAAACGACCTTGGTTAAATACTTTAAAGGCTTGAGGCCAGTTGAATACAGAGCCAATGAGCTCATCCATCCTAACTGCTGTTACATACAGTGTTCTCCAGCAGCAGCCACACAGGGACTTTGAGGGGAACCCTCAGCCAGCCCTTCGAATGTGGTGCTCTGTGCAGTTAACCTGACTGAAGATTCCATTTGGCAAGCTTAGGGCAGAGACGGGGTTGGCTGGGTAGAAGACACTCCACAAGGAAATAATGATGGTGACCATGATGATGATATATTTCGAAGGATATTTTTCTCAACCTTTTTCTTGTTCTGAGTGTCTTCCTCCAAAGAGGAAAGTCCCAGCTCCATGATGAATCCTCCCTTGTCCTGCAAAAGCAAAGCTCACACCAGTTTTTCAGTAAAGTCTGCTGCTGGTCCCTTTGTGGAGATCCTTATTGTTTTGGAGCAGCTTTACTGCTGGACATTTTCCCCTCAGTTTATTCTCTCCAACTTCACTCTCTAAATCGAACCTCCATGGAGGAAAAGAATGAGATACAATAAAAAAATGGGGTGTTGGGCTGGAGAGATGGCTCAGAGGTTAAGAGCACTGGCTGCTCTTCCAAAAGTTCTGAGTTCAATTCCCAGCAACCACATGGTGGCTCACAACCATCTACAATGAGATCTGGTGCCCTCTTCTGGCTTGCAGGCAAACATGCAGGCAGAACACTGTATAATACATACATACATACATACATACATACATACATACATACATACATAAAATCTTAAAAAGCAACAACTGGGGTGCTTCTGGTAAAATTATCTTGAATCTCTTGCTTGTCTTTAAAAAATGCTTCTGTTTTGTACAAATATAGTCTCTTGCCCCACTTTGTGGAGGTGGTGGGGATATAGATTGATTTTAGGGCCTTGTGCAAACTAGGAAACTCCCTTAGTTATATCCTGAGCCTCTTTTTACTTTTCATGTTGAGACAGGTTCTCATTACATTGCCCAGGCTGGTCTTGACCCCTCTCTACAGGTCAGTCAGGCCTTCAACTTTCAATCCTCCTGCCTCAGACTTCCATGTATCTGAGTTTCCAGGCCTGCACCACCAGGGCTGGCGGTTGCCCATCTCTTAGCTCTGAAGAGCAAAGAGCAGTTTCAGGTCTGTAGAAATCTTTGCCTTGGTTCCGAACCCTGGTCCTTCATTGTGCCACTCAACAGCATGCCTTTAGCCCTAACCCTCAGGCCATCTTGCTGCTCCTGTCCTCTGGCCAACCTGTGTGGTCCTTTTGTTGGGATCCCTTGTAAGCTGCTCTCTCCCACCTGGAGAGGAAGTGAGGAGTCCTCAGTCCGTCTGGAGTTCACCTTGCCTGTTGGCTGCTTCAGGCTAGCAGATGGCTCTAAGTGTCCCGCTTCCTTCCTCCACAGGTGATGGCTTGGCACCGAGACGCCTTCCCCACACTGAAGGCTGCTTTGTCCCTTTCTCTTAAGCATCTAGGTCCCAAAGGAATGATAGCAATCCCAGTGTCCTTGGTCAGTTTTCTCCCTGGGGACTGAAGAATTCTTATGTAGATGAGTTACATTTGGCCTGTCTTGGTGGATGACAGTGTTCTACTGGATAAGCAGGCCACCTACTCCAACTCTTAGGCTCAGAGACCTGTGATTTCTCTAGACTGCTTGTTCTTCTCGATTGTGGTCTGAAGCAATTTCAGACTGACATAGTTACTTATATAGTAACCCACATATCTAGCCAGCATGTGTGTGTGTGTGTGTGTGTGTGTGTGTGTGTGTGTGTGTGTGTGTGTGTGTTTGTGTTTAAAGAACTGAGACAGACTTCCAATTGTCCTCCAAAAGCTTTCAGAGAAATAACAAATGACTTCCTCTTTATAGTTCCTCACACCCCGTCTTTTGCAGGGCATATGGGGCTCTGTTCCATCATGTCACATGGTCAATTAGAATTTCAGGAAATGGTCCAGAGAGATAACTCAGTAGGTAAGGATTCTTTCCACCAACCCAGATGAACTGATTGTTGGAACCCACATAGTAGAAGATGAAAACTTCCACAAATTGTCCTTCACTGTGGCACATGTGTGCCCCAACACACTACAAAAGAAATAAATATTTTGAAAAGAAAAATAATTTTTTAAAAGGGATATTGAGAAAAGTCTGTCTCACATCCCTGTTCATGAAGAGTCCTGTTAATCAGTGGCGAGAGCTGGCGGAGTTCGAACTCTGAGAGCAAAAAGCGCCACTGAACCCAATCTGTTTTCAGCATTTTTCATCAAATTGAGTAAGGGCAATGTACTGCTCTGAACTCCACAGCCTAAACATGAACCATGGAAGCTGCCATGGTCAACAACGGAATCTGCTTAATATAAGCAACACAGAAAATAAATACAAGAGAAGCAGGAAAAACTGGCGTTTGTATACATATGTAAATAGTATATATAATCAAACAATATTTAAGAACAGTGTTATTAATGTTCTTAATTAATTTAATTTTATAATGTTATAAAACATAACATTTTTCCAAACCCTTCCCTTTTTTGCTGATAAGCCCTTGATTAGGAAAAGTTACAATATTAGTCACCTTCAAAGATAGAACACAGGAAAGTACCCCAGACTGGGTTGTTCTCAGGAATGGAGTTTTCTTTGGCCCTGACCCCTGTCTGTTTTTTTCCTGTCCTATTGGGGAAGATGGCAAGTGGTTTATGGGGTGTTCATAGCGAGGGACAGGGTGGTCACAGCAGGGACAGACATACTTACCATACCCCTGAATGGAAGAGGAAAACAGAACCCAGGCCTCTAAGGCCCACTTGTAGAGGGACCAGAGCTTTCCAGGCGAAGTTCTCAGTCTGCTCAGGCTATTGTGACCAGCTGTAGGCTGGACAGTGACTTCTGTGACTTAAGCCCTATGTCACTGGAGTGTGGGATAAAAGCTTCATGGTTTCCCAAAGACCAGTGAACCCCCACCCCAGGGGACTGTTGCACTTTCGTTGCTGAGAGCTGCTAATTGCTATTTGATGGCTGTTGCTTCTGTAACAGGAATCAGATCCATATGATCCGAATGCCGCATCAACCCCAAAACACACTTAGCACAGGACCCGACACAGGCGTGGACGGATCGGTATGGTGCCTCCTGGGCTTGATGCCCACACGTTAAGACCTATGTGAAGGACCTGAGAGAGACTGGAGGCTGCGTGAATTCCGAGACAGATGATAAAGGAAACAGCCTTGTTCTTTTGGGGCGTGGGCGAGCATATGTTGATGTCTGAAATTGGGCTCCTAGGATAAGCCAGGCTAGAGCAGGAACCTGAGGTGGGTGAGAGTCGACGCCCTGGGATCCGAAGCCCATCATTGCGAATTTCATTTTTTTTTTTTCCTTTCAGCTCGAGTCTGTGACGAGGGCTCTTGCTACACAAAAACCTATGTGGCGCCCAGGGTATTATATAAACCCTTGGCAGGAGGGGAGATAGTCCGGTCTGTGCGCTTCGGCCGCCGCAGTCACAGCAGCCACGGCGCAGCAGCAGCAGCAGCAGCAGCGAGAGCCGCTCAGGTTGATTTAGAACGCGGGTGACAGTGGCCTGGCGCGAGCCTGCGGCTGACGACAGCGGCTGAGCCCGCTCGGTTTCCATGGAGACGGGCAGGAGCCGCGGCGGCGGCGGCGGCGGCGGCGCGGCTGTCAGCGAGCGCGGCGACGCGCGCGCGGGGGTCTGCAGGAGGCAGGAGCAGGCCGGGGCCCTCGCCGCAGACATGGACTCGCATTGTGAGTGCGCCGCGGAGACGCCCGCCGCAGAGCCGCCGTCGGGGAAGATCAATAAGGCTGCGTTCAAGTTATTCAAGAAGAGGAAATCGGGGGGGACCATGCCCAGCATTTTTGGGGTCAAAAACAAAGGGGATGGGAAGAGCGCGGGGCCGACGGGGATGGTGAGGAGCAGGACCCACGACGGACTAGCGGAGGTACTGGTGCTGGAGGGCAGCAAGAAGGAGGAGCCGCCCGGCGGGGGCGATCACGGCGGGGCCCGGCCGAACCCCGGGCCCCCCAAAGCCGCCGGGCCTGGTCTGGGCTCTCTGGCCAGCAGCTCGGTGGCCAAGTCCCACAGCTTCTTCTCCCTGCTGAAAAAGAACGGGCGATCCGAGACCGGCAAGGGGGACCCTGCCGAGGCGAGCAAGGCTGGCGGCAAACAAAAGAGGGGGCTGAAAGGGATCTTCAGCAGCATGCGCTGGCACCGGAGGGACAAGCGCGGCAAGGAGGAGGAGGAGAAGGCGGCGCGCGCGGCGGGCCCGGGCAGCCTAGTCCTGCCCGGCTCGCTCACCGCCAGCCTGGAGTGCGTCAAGGAGGAGCCGCCCCGAGCCGCGCGCCGCCCGGACAGCCCGGGCCAGGACGCCCCGCGACACGCAGCAGGTGAGCCCGAAGGGGGAGAGCAGGCGCCCGCGTCCGCCGAGCGCGCCCCGGCGCGGACCTGCCTCGAGGCCGCGAGCCCCGCCGGCCCTGGCGACCAGAGCGCCCGGGGAGAGGACGCCGAGGGGCACTGGCGCGCGGAGAAGCCCGGGGCAGCCCTCGAGTCGGGAGCCGGCGAGGTCCAGGCGGCCGAGGATGCGTCCAGGACAGGTGACGTTCCGATAAAGACCGTCCCCCTTGTCGACTCCGAAGGTGGCAGCGGCCGGGCGTCTGCCGTCCCTGACCCTTCCTCTGTTGATCCACCCTCAGACCCGTCGGCAGATCGTATTTGTTTGATGTTTTCTGACGTGACTTCACTGAAAAGCTTTGACTCTCTTACAGGCTGTGGAGATATTATTGCAGACCCAGAAGAAGAGGCAGGCCCCAGCTGTGACAAGCATGCCCCCGGGCCAGGCAAGGCAGTGCTCTCTAAAAAGAACACCAGCGTGGTGGCCTACCAAGGAGGAGGGGAGGAGATGGCCAGCCCGGATGAGGTGGACGACACCTATCTCCCGGAATTCTGGGACATGTTGTCCCAGACTGAGGACCAAGGACAAGGGCCCCAAGAGGGCGCAGCTAAGGCTGCCACTGCTTCGGACACCAAACTGGCCCCTGAGACCTCCAATGATGCCCGGTGTGGGGAAGTAGTCAAGGACGTGTCCTCTGTCAAGCGCAGGAGGCTCCACAGGATCCCCGTTGAGGCTCAGCAGAAGGACGAGTCAAAGCACCCAGAGAAGGAGCATCAAGAAGGTGTCCCTAACAGCGACGAGGGCTACTGGGACTCCACCACTCCTGGTCCAGAAGAAGATAGTGCCAGCAGCAGTAAGAAGGCAGTCATCCCCAGGGATAGCGACAGTGGCGATGCTCTCTATGATCTCTACACTGAACCCGAAGGAAGCCCAGCTGCCCTTCCTGCCACAGAGGACCCACCCTGCTTGTCCCGGCTAAAGCCCGTGTCTCCAGGCACCATCACCTGTACACTGAGAACACCAGGCAGCTTGCTGAAGGACTCTAAAATCCCCATTAGCATCAAGCATCTCTCCAACCTTCCATCCAGCCATCCTGTGGTGCACCAGCAACCAGCCAGGAGTGAGATGCCCAGAACAAAAATCCCCGTTTCCAAAGTGCTGGTCCGCAGGGTCAGCAACCGGGGTTTGGCTGGGACCACCATCAGGGCAGCAGCGTGCCATGACAGTGCCAAAAAGTTGTGAGGTCTCCAAGGCCAAGGAGGATGGATGTTCCGTGAGTTCAGGAATACAACTCTCCCCTGGAAACCACTGGAGAAAGTTTGCTTTCCCCAAAGCAAACCATTTAGGACCCACCCTTCTCCATATGGCCTAGAAGTCTTTGTTGGAGACAGGGACAGGACACCCTGGAAGGGGGATGTTACACCTGGAGTTCAGATAAGTTCCTGGGAATTCTTTTCTAGCACTTTTTTTTTCTTGTAACTTTTTAAAAAAATCTGTTTTTTTTTCTTCTTTTTTTCTTTAATTCATGGATCAGAAGTCGCCTTCCCTTGCTTTTGCAGAAAATAAAATGTAACCAAATCTAACAAATATATCACGCCAGGATATCCGGCTGTTCTAGAGTCAAGAGGGCCTTGAGGAATCACTAACAACAGAATTCTTGCCTCTCTTTCCAGGAAAAAACAAAACAAAACAAAAAAAGACCCTTTGCTTATCACTGTGTGGGAAACACCTGCAAAGCTTAAAGATCCAAATAGCTATGTGATGAGAAGAGGGACTGCTGGCTGGCCGAACCCCTCCCCCCAACGTCCAGTTGCCAGACGTACAAATAGGTAAAGATCTATCTCTACAAAAACAGCAAGGTTTTAGTTTGGCTGGTTCAGATCATTTGTCTGAGGAGAAATAAAAGGCTCATGATTAGTTTATGTGTTTTTTTTTGTTTGTGTATTTTTTGGGTCCACTCCTCCCCTCTTGGGGCAAAAATTAGGATCAGGGAAAGATCTCACTAAATGCTAATTACACAGTATTTTGTCATTTGTAAACTTCAACCTTCTTACATGTAGATAATGCATATTTTAACAGTTTGTCTCACGGTTAACATTTTACAACTTGTCAATGATATAGAATTTAGAGTCTGGTCTTATAGTTGGATATGATGACAAACCATTGTGGTTCTTTATGCACTGTAACCTGGGGCAGGGATGCTTTCGATTTATGAGGGATTTTACCTTGTTTATAAAAATGTTGAATCCAACCATTTCCCCAAGGTTAGGAAGTCCAAAATGAACATATCAAGAAATAATCGAAAAATACAAGTTTAAAGCTACTCCTTTTACTTTTGCTATATAAACCAATGCCTGAACAGGTGTATTCTTCACGTGACACTGCCAAACCTAAGTGTGTAAACATTCTACTAAATTACTTTCGAGAAATGGTTTGATTCGATATTTGCTTTCTAATATTTTAGCTGAAACTCTGATGCCTTGGCAGTTTGAACAATGCAGTTTGAAGGGGTTCCTTGAGTGCTGTCAGTGTCTGCTGACTAAAATCTGATGTCCTCTGGAGATGCAGTTAACTCAAAGGGCTGGAGCTTCTACCAGGGGTGCTGTGGCACATCGGGAGGATGGCACATATCCCAGTGGCCCTGCATGTGTGTGAATGATATGAGCACAGTATAATTTGAGTTCTAGAGAGATGATTAAGAAATGGTCTGCTATTTTGTGTTTTAAGATTTTAGTTATATTTTGTAAAAAAAAAAAAGAAGCTAAATATATGAAAATTTATTTTAATAGTGTGAAGGAAGCAAAAATAAGTGGGCATCAAGGGAAACTTGATAAGGCATAAAGGAACCTATTCCCATTTCCAATTTGTAGCGTTTCCCTTAGAAGATGGGGCAGAAGTCTGCTGTATCTTAGATTACTGACTTTTACTGTATTGTCTCAGGTCCTTGATGTTATCACAAAGCAATGCTTTAATTTTTAATTTCCTTGTATCTAGAGATGAGACCCTCCACGTACTCATCACCCTAAGCATTCTGGACTTTTTAATCAGATACTATACAAGCATCTCATGCATGCTCAGGAATTCATCTGGATAAAAATTAACAGAAAACATCTCAAAATAGTTGGGATTTGGCAATATTTTGAAAACCACTTCTGCCCTTGAGAAAAGACTTTAAATCTGATTAATATTGATAGACATATTTAGACCCAAAAATGCATTTGTTTTCCCCTAGAACCGGAGAGGACATACATTTTACTTCTAGCAGGAAAACAAAGGCACTTTTTCCTTGTGCTTTTCCCTGCAAAGATCCTATTTACCTTTGTAGGACTCCACGGCTGGGTTTTGTTTGCACTTGTGCAGCTGTGTAGGGAAGGTAGCATATGAAGACTGGGTTCAGACAGTGTCAGAGTAATGGCAGGTGGACGCACCAGAAGCCCCTCCTTCAAGCGTTCCCAGCTTGGAGGTTTATTTCTGCATTCACCCACTAAGCCATCCTCGCTTTATAAGGGAAGGAAAATTTTAGCAATATTTACCTTAATTTCCCCCTGGCAATTAACCAGTTACAAAAGACTTAAAATGTTTTATTTATAAAATTCTTTTCACCACACTTCCCCTCATCCTGATTTTTCTCTTTTATGCTGCACATTTAAGAACAGCACCTGTGCCAGTCCAGTCAAGGACTTGGCAGTGGACTGAATGCCCTTAGTTGTTAGCAGTCAGGACAGTGGTCAACCTTCTCCAAACACAGAAAGGGGATCAGAGTTGCTTTCTTGTGCCAAGGGTTACTTTGTCTTACTTGTGTTTGCAAGACATTTCTAGATTTCCATGCAACTGTCTATGAGTGTGTTATCTCATCGTCTTCTGAGAACTGGACAGGCTTCTTTGTGACTTTTTAGAGGAAGGTCAGACATGAGCAAGTGATGATTTCTTGGTATGTGCAGTTCTAAGGCCCATTGGGTTGACACCCTTTGGATAAAGAGCTGCCTGAGAGGAGAGAACAAACAGCCACGTCAACTCTTGGGCAGGAATTTGTCAGTTTAATGGTTCTGCACAAAGACAGCCTGTCTTTAATATCTACAACACACACACACACACACACACACACACACACACACACACACACACACACACACACACACACTCACTACTCATTTAGTCCTGCTTTGGTTCTGCTGGCAGTAACGGCTCTTATTCTCCTCCATCGTGGAGTGGGAGACATTTCATTTACTTCAGCATTTCAAATAATCACAAGAGGAAATAACGTTTTTATGATTTCACGTAATGACAACGCAATACAGATCATCAGGACTCCCTTGAGATTCATTTTTGCACGAAACTTATCTGCCCTGTTGACATGCAAACATCCATTCAGTGTTTAATCTGTGCAGACGACGTCTTGCCCAGCTTAGAGGGCTTACTCACTCATCTCAGTTCTTTTTCATTCATTGAAATTAATATGCAAAGTACCCTCTGCTGACTCAATTGTCAAGGTCAAAGGCTGTATCAGGTGTTAAGGTTTCTTTGACCAAACTTTCTACGAGTTTTCACTTTTTCCCTCTCTCCGATCTATCTGGGGAAGGTCTTTGCTAAGAGCATTATCTGAAGAGGTTGGCTCTTGTGGCTTTATCTCCCTTTGTTTTCATCATAGTTACCTCCTGCCCCGGGACAGTGAGAATAGGACACTCCCCGTGTTGTTGGTCTTCTGGACCATGTGAGCAAGTTTTGCTCCCTCGTTGCTCTTTGTGAATGTCTTCCTTGCACTGAAAATGTGCGACCTTGGCTCTCTGTGCTTGACCTCTACTGAGACGTAAGCCAGTCACCTACACTCTGCTTCCCTCACGAGTGCTAAAACATATGAACACAAGAGTTTTCCGGTCGCCTCTCCTTGTCTCCAGGACGGCCAGTTAGAAGGCTCTGCATGAGAATCCAAACACCTCAGCTAACCTTGGTCCTGTCCTTTCTCGGCCCACCAAGAAAGGACTCAATTATTCGTGTAAGCTCAGCCTTGGAAATTTTGATTCACTATGCAAAAACGAACCAGTGAGGGGTGAACAAGGTCTCAGCAGCGTGTCCCTCGTGTGGCAGAAGAGGACTGCTTAGGAGCACCTCAGGGTGCTTAGTGTGTGCTCACAGTGGTCATTGATTGTGTCACCTGCCCCTGCTCTCCAGCCTTCCAGTGGCTGTCAGTTCTAGAGTGCTTCTCTGGGCCTCCCACTCTGGTGATGGTTTGAAGGAAGCAGTTTGTTGCAACGATAGCCACTTAGAAAGGAAGGGATTGCTCCTCCTGCAGACAGACAAGCCTTGAAAAGGTGGTTTGGAATTGAACTAGGGAGAGGAGTTCTTCCTTGAGCGGAAAACAAGGAAGGTTAAGTGTCACAAATCCTCCAGCTGACAGACAGCAGCTTTTATGATATTGACTTGAACCCAATGCAACGCATATTTACAGGATAGTCGCTGTATCTAATACTTAACTGTGAAAATCCAGTTGGAGGCTTCCATGTTGCTGTGCTGTTATTGGATCTTTTTTTCAATTTTCTTTCAGACACTTTCATTTGACTCATCTCCCCTCTGCATGTTTTGCATTTGTGCGTATTGCTTATAGTTTGTATGTTGGCGCAGAGTGGTGGTAAACCAAGTCCCACAGATGCTTCTAGAACTTCTGACAGTGGCCAGCACTTGCTCAACTCTTCTGTGTGCCAGTCCTCCTGGGAGCACTACTGAATAACTCCACCTTCTTAACAGCCACATGAGGTGACACTGTCTCCCTGACAGGACTTTACTTCAGACTTTTTTGTTCCTTCTGACCCTTTCATTGCAGGCACACACCCCCCCGCCCCCCCACCTCTCTCTCCCTAGTCTCTGGGGCAGGGCTGTAACTGTTTAGTGTCCTGGTAACACCAGAGCTCAGAGCTGCTGAAGTCATTGACCTCCCTTTGTGTCTAACAGGAAAAGCTAACTCACATCCAAGCTGATGAGGTTGGCTTCGTGTCTAAGACATTGGTGCTTGGGTCACACACAAGGGAACCTGCAGTCCCCTGTTCCTCTGTGGTCCATAGGCAAACAATTGGCTTCCTTCTCTTTGGCACACCCTCTCCTTCCAGGGATTAACATGGAAAGTACCGACAGAAGTCTCTTCTGTTGTCATGGCAACACTTCTTCCCTGATAGGATTTTGGCCATTCCGGGCACGCTTCTTCACTCTCCTACCTTAAGCCTAGACTAGCCTTGTTTTGAGTATTCTGTGTTATTCTTATTGTAGTAAGAACATTCCACATGAAGTCTGCCCTCTCCAGTTTTACGTGTACAGTACAGCACACAGGACTATAGGCACACACGGCTTATAGCAGACTTCTAGAACTTATGCATACTGGAGTCATGGATATTTTATTGCTCACTGATCAGCCATGCCCCCTTCTCCAGCCCTGATAACCACCACTCTATTGTTTGATTCTAGGAGTTGGACTGTTTTAAATACCTCAGAGCAGTGGGATCTGGTAGATTTTGTGCTTTTGTGACTTGCTTATTTCACTGAGCATAATGTCTCCCAGGTACAATGTCCGCCTTGTCTTATGTTATGAGCTCTCCCTTTCTGGATGCCGATCCCATCGTGCTGCCTGTCTACTGCATCTTATGTTTTCAGTCACCTGTCGGCAGACATGATACTGTGTCTTGGCTACTGTGGGTAATGCCCCAGTGTACATGAGGACGGACATAGCTTTTCAAGATCCTGACCTCTCAAGCCTTTCAGATAAATACCCCAAAGTAGAATTGCTGGACCATACAGTAATTTTATTTTTAAGCCTTTGAGGACCTTTCCTCGCGCTGTGTTTCCCACAGCAGATGCATCATTTTACACCCCTAACATCAGTACCCGAGGGCCCAGTTTCTCCACCATCAACTAGTTGTCTGTTGTCTTCTTAAACGGGGAGCAGCTGAGTTATCCTTTGCCCTGGTCCAGCTCTGGATTCCAGATGCAAGTACCTGTGATCACAAGCCACCCATCCTGTTTCCTCAGTGGCCCTGGAATCTTATCTACATTTTCCGATTCATTAATTCACTCAAGTGGCATTTACCTAGCACATCTTATCATTTTATGGTTAATTCTACTGACTTCCGTAGGCTGGGTTTCCTGGATTGTCAGAAATGGGACTTCCTACTTTGTTTTACGCCATTATCTTGATAGCTCACAAGAACCATGTAAGGCTTCTCTGGACTCCATTTTCTGGAAGAAACTGATTCTTAGAAGTTTGAAGATCCTTGAGGCTTGAGTCACATTTGGAGTAACAGGGACAGCATTTGAAATTGACCCCACAGCCCAGGCTTTAATTGGAGACTTTTTTTGGCCATCACACATCCTTTGAATTACTCATTTTAAGTGAGAAACTGATGGATGTTCTCAACTATAAGAATCAAACTCCATTTTTATGATGGCAGTTGTTATTTAAATGATTCTTTCAAAAACTGAACTTGGTTTTTAAATAGCCATTGATGGCCTTCATAAAAATCTATGTTAACAAGTCTAAAAGGTTGATTCAGGGACAAGCAAGCTTTTTCCTATCTAGGACAGTTAAAATTGGAGGTCGTAGCCCCCATTTATTTAGATTGTACTTATGGGCTATAAACTCTTATCTCTGTTTTGTGAATAACATAGCCAGAAAAGCAATTTCAGTGGGGAATCCATTAGGCCTTGACCTTGTTCCTTTATCTCTGATCCCAGAGAGATGCCTTTCTCAGTATGTAGGGAAAATCAGTTTGAAATTGCATCAATATCACAACTAACACGATTATTTTACTCATACACAATGTTACCTACCTTTGGTCCTCTTTCCCTGTGACTCAGTGTCATGGGACATGGTGGGAGAATCAATGCTGGCCCTTCTTACCCTGTTGAATGGTAAGCTAGGAGGAGTCAGGAGGTGTATTTAATAATTAACTCTCTGACCTATATGAGACCTATAGATGCAGTCGTGGTGCCTGGTTCTTTGAGATGCATCCAGTTTTCCCGGACATCTTCAAATCTGAGTCATTTAACAAAGTAAAGTAGAAATGCTAGAACACGTGTGGTCCAGTAGCATAGGGGCATGGAGGGTAAACACAGCATCCCTGTGTACAATGTGCACAGTGCTGGTACCTGTGCCACTGCTGCAGTAGCCAGGTGGAATTAATGAATGCTCTTCACTGCCTAGTAAAGAACGACTGAGCATTTTCATTGCTTCCAGAGTAAATTCAGCAGGGCTGATCTGATGGATAGTGGTGCATTTAAGAAGAATATCAGTGAAAGTGACTCTGAGGATAAAGCCCTGTGGTTTTCATTTGTCCTCAGTGGCCCAGCAGGCCCCTGATTCCCATGCAGCCTCCCAGTGTGGTATAAGGAAGTGCAGGCTGTTTGCTAGCAATGGCTAAGAAAACCCAAGCAGAAACTCCTGGCAGGAGAGCCTCTGAGGACAGGGCTTGGCTGCATCACTTTTGTGCACAGGAGGAAAATTGCTGGTAATTGGTAGGTTTATATATATTATTTTTATAATAGAATGTTAATCCTCTGAAAAACATCAAAAAGTTAGTCTCCTAGAAAGAACTCTATGCTTTCCAAACCTACTTCAAAGAAGGGTTCTAAACACCAGTAGGGTCCTTTACCCTTCACTACTCCAATGGTCTAATGGGATAGATGAATCAATGTTTATATTTTTAAACCTGTAAATATTTTTATTTTGAATATTTTGTATATTTGTTGATATAATTCCATTTTGTGCATATGTACTATTGTGCATGTTGCTGGTTTTGATAGTCACTCTTTTAACAAATGTAAACAGGTTGGACTAACCGGCTCTCTGCTTTCATTCATCTTACACTGAAAATACAATGTTGCCATTTTAACTGCTGTGTTTAAATTCCGTCAATAAATTCTGTTGCTCCTTTGCAGTTAAAGCAAATTCTGTTGGCTGTTATTTTTCCAGGATCAGTTTTTTTTTGTTTTTGTTTTCCCCCTAGACTTTTAAATTTTGGGGACGTATACTAATGACAGTGAGGAATGTGTGTGCGTGTGCACGAGGGCATGTGAGTGAAAGGTGTGTGTGATGTGTGCATGTGTGTGTATGTCCCTGATGTATCTCTGTGTGTGTGTGTGTGATATGCCTGTGATATGTGTGGTGATGTGTGATTCACATATGTGAGATGTGTGCTTTGTGTGTGTGAGTGTGTAATGTGTGATCTGTATGTGTGACTGCAGTGTAAACACCTAAATGGGAGACCCCTGTTTCTTCCCACACATTGTAAACAACTGAAAATTGGTTGCTTCTGGCAGCTGCCTTTTGAAAACATGCTTGTTATCCTGTCCTGATTCCCCAACCCTTTGTTAGGGAACTCTCCCTGCCTGTAATCCCCTGTGAGACCAGCTAATCTGTCTGACTCTTAGGGAAGAGTCAAAATAAGGTCACACGTGTCTTTCCAGAGTTGTTTTCTGTGTACTTTGTGTTTGGTGGCAGATTTTTCCGTTCCTGTATATTACAGATTCAAGTTCACAGAAGCTGTGTGAAGAAAAATGAAGTTGTAGCGTTTTGTGTTTGAAAAATAAGAATGGGAGGCCATGTATGTTTTGAAGTATACCTCCTTTAAAACGGGCTTGTTTGTACCATGGATGCTTATAATTTTCTTTTTTCCTTTTTTTTTTTTGAGACAGGGTTTCTCTGTGTAGCTTTGGTGCCTGTCCTGGATCTCACTCTGTAGCCCAGGCTGGCCTCGAACTCACAGAGATCCACCTGGCTCTGCCTCCCAAGTGCTGGGATTAAAGGCGTGCGCCGCCGCTGCCGCTGCCGCTGCCGCCGCCGCCGCCGCCGCCACCACCACCACCACCAGGCATAATTTTCTTAAATGACAAGAAAAGTTAATGTTTGTCTGCAGAACATAACTCAGAAATCATTTCAAAGGAGAATCTGATTAGTCACAGTAAATATACAACAGGAGAGCAATAATGGTGGATGGCAGGTTTGCAAACATCCCTTCTCTTCCTTCAGGCCCTCCCTTTCCTCTCTGCCCATTGTCTTCCATTCTCATCTTTTTCCTAGAAGTAATTTGGAAGGCACGTCCCTTCAGTAAGGCAGTGAGGAACTAGAGCTAAGACCAGACTTTCAAGCTTAGTGTAGCAGGCTTTCCTGGACCACCAACCAGCTCCCAAATCAAGACACAGAGACTTATCATCAATTACAAATGTTCGACCTTATCTTAGGCCTGTCCCACTAGCTCTTATAACTTAATTTAACCTGTTTCTCTTCATCTACATTTTTGCCTTGGGGCTTTTTACCTTTCTTTCATTCTGTATGTTCTACTTTTCCTGCTTCTTCCGTGTCTGGCCAGCTGGGAAAAAAGAGGGAAAATCTCGCTCTCTTTCTCCCTTATTCTCTTCTCTCCTCTCTGGAGCCCAGATTCCTCCTATTTACTCTCTCTGCCCACCAGTCCCGCCTATTTCTCTACTGCCTAACTATGGGTCGTTCAACTTTTAATATTAGACCAATCAGGTGCCTTAGGCAGGCAAGGTAAAATACCAACACATCTTTACATAGTTAAATACATGCAGCATAAACAAATGCAACACACCTTTATGTAGTTAAAGTAATATATCACAACATGTCAGAGCATGCAGAAGACAGATTCAGTCTGGGCCCATTAACTCACATTTGTCGTCCTGGCACTCAGGATGCTGAGACAGGAGGATTACCAGAGTTCAAGGCCAGTCTGGTAGACCAGCTAGAAAAAGAATAACAGAGTAAACTTGCAGGCATATAAATAAGAAGTACAGTGGAGGGAACCAAGAGATGGCTCAGTGGTTAGAAGCTCTTGATGCTGTTGCAGAAGACCTGGGTTCAGTTCCCAGCATCCACACCAGGCAACTCACAACTGCCTTTAACTCAAGCTCTGGGGGAATCCAGTACCCTCTTCAGAACTTGGTGGGTACCTGCATGCATGTGCTGTACATACATTCAAGCATACACACAGAGACATACATTAAAATGAATAAAAGTTTTAAAGAAGTACTGTTATAACGTCTGAAAATAATAAAACAAAGCAGAGCTACTTTAAAGTAGTCAACTATGACAAAACTAGTTCTTTTGTAAACCATCTAACAACACTGATTAAGAAAAGAGAGTGGCTGGAAAGACGTCTCACTGGTTAAGAGCACTGACTTCTAAAGGACCTGAACTCAATACCTAGCACCCACATGGCAGCTCATTGCAGCCTGTAACTCCAATCTGACACCCTCTTCTGGTTTTGAAGACACAAGCATGGTCATGGTACACAGACATACATGAAGGCAAAACACCCATAAAATAAGAATAAATCAATCTTTGAAAAGAAATTTTATCATAAATTATTTTTAATTGAAAATAATTCATTATATAGTATATTCTGATCACTCTTTGCCCTCCCTCAACTCCTCCCAGATCCTCCACACCCTTTCTCTCTCTCTCTCTCTCTTTAGAAAACAAACAGGCAAAGAAAAAAAAAACATAAAAAGGGACAAAGAAGTCGGATGGTGGTGGCACATGCCTTTACTCCCAGCACTTGGGAGGCAGAGGCAGGTGGATCTCTGTGAGTTCGAGGCCAGCCTGGTCTACAAAGCAAGTTCCAGGAAAAGACACAAAGCTACACAGAGAAACCCTGTCTCAAAAAGAACCAAAAAGAGAGAGAGAGAGAGAGAGAGAGAGAGAGAGAGAGAGAAAGAGAGAGAGAAACACAAGAAGCACACAACACAAAACAAAACCCATAAAAACACACTCAGAAACCATACTATACAAGCAAAGGGCCAGTAAAACAAAACAAAAATGATCAAACAAATCAGGAGAGAAAAACTCTACAAAACTACCGTTGAGGTTTTTTTTTGTACTGGCCATTTGCTGCAGGACATAGGACCCACTCCTAGTGTGGGTAATATGCCCAGTGAGAAGCCATTGGAGAAAACTAGTTTTTCATTTGCAAATGCCTATCAGCTGGAGAGAGCTTCTGGGCTAGGGACGGGGTGGGGGGAGGGTGGGGGGGGGGGGGTGGGGGAGGTGGGGGGGCCTTGTGTCCACTGCCACTCTCCCTTCTAAGACCCGTGCAGGTCCTGTGCATGCTGCCACAGTCTCTGTGAGTTCATATGTAAATCAGTCTTGGGAAAAAAATTTTTTTAAAGAAAAAGAGGAAAGATGAAAATCAGAATGAGATGGTTGTGGGGAGATAAAGAATAATGGAAATTGGTCGTAGTTATGCAAATGGTTTTAAAAATAAGTGTAGATAAAAATTCTAAATGCGCACAATTGTATACACGCACACATAAAGCTGGACATGATGGTACATGTCTGTAATCCCCGTGCTCCTGTGGTGAAGTGGGAGATGGAGCCTGGGGAATGCCTGAAGGCCGGAGAGCCAGTTACCTTACACAAACTAGTATAAACAACAAGAGTCTCAACAGGGAAGTAAGGGCTGATGCCCAACGTGTGTCACTGTGGCAGGACACACACGTGTGTCTGTGGCAGAAGTGTGTGCCCCTTCTCTCTCTCTCTCTCTCTCTCTCTCTCTCCTCTCTCTCTCTCTCACACACACACACACACACACACACACACACACAAGATTTAAAAGGAAAAGAAAAAATGGAACCGAATTTGTTTGTAAAGCTAACACTGGATCATAACCAGGTTGGGCTTAATTCCAGAAATGTAAAGATGGCTTTCCATTTTAGAAACCTGTTAGAATTCGCCGTTTAAAGAGGCAGGAGGGGAACAGTGGTGGGTTTAAGCAGTGGTCACTGCCGGGAGGCCGCACTTTTTTCCCTTAGCAGCGCCCTTGGCTGCCTCGCTCTTCCTGTGCTCCCACAGCAGCACGCTCTCAGGACAGTAAGTCGCTTTAAAGTTTAAATGCTTTGCCTCAGAACAACTTTAAAATAACAGTTGCTTCTATTTCGTCTGAATCTAAAATGTTATGCCATTCTTTAGCATAAAGAAAGGAAAAATACTGTCAATTAGGATTGTAAGATACCATTGATTAAAAGTCACCCGATTCTGAAGACAGAATTGTGAAATGGGTGACTTAGAAGGATGCATTTCTTCAAAACAGCATGTGTGTGTGTGTGTGTGTGTGTGTGTGTGTGTGTGTGTGTGTGTGTATACGTGTTTGCATGTGTGGATGCACATGTATGTGGAAGTGTACATGCAGCCTAGAGGACAACCTGGAGTGTCATTCCTTGTTCGCTGTGTACCTTTTTGTTTGTTTTCAGACAGGTATCTCATTGGCCAAGAGATTGCCAAGCTGGCCAGTGAGCCCCAGGGATCTGCTTGTCTCCACCTTCCCAGCACCAGGATTACAAGTGTGTGCCCCATGTCTAGCCTTTCTTTTCTTTTCTTTTCCTCTGTTTTAAATGTGGGTTCTTGAAGAAATGCATTTTAAATGTGGGCTCTTCCTTTTAAAATGTGGGATTGAACTGAAGTCCTCATGTTTATAAGGCCAGCCCATTACTGACTGAACTATTTTCCTAGCCCCATTTGTTTAATTGGAATATTCTTCCGTATCTGGAGAGTAAAAGTTTCTGTGGGGGAAAGATAGTTATTTATACATACTAAGTGGTCAGACATTTGGAACAGCTTAAATTTAGTTCATTCAAATCTTCAGGAAAATTGTCATCTACTCATACAGCATTGCACACTTGTCAGGACACAGGAAGAAACAAGAGCATACACATGGTTATTTTACATGCTTCTCACTTGCAAGCAAACGGTCTGCATGCTGGACACCTTGCCTTCCCAACTTGGCAGGCAAGCTTATAGTGAACACCGTGTCATCTTCCTCTGTCAGCTGCTGGTACCTCAGTATTTCCCAGAAGAGCCCAGTTTCTCATAGTCCCAAGTCTTGTGCCCTTTCCCTGATGCTGACGTATTTTTAAGCAGCTCCCAGCTCTTGATCT